CGGCCCGTGGGCCGGCCCAGGTCCTCCTCACCCTCGACGCGGGCCGGGCCGGGCCGGGCCCCCCCTCCTCACACTCGGGCCGGGCGGGGGAGGGGCTGAGGGAGTAGGGGGAATCCGCTCCGGGTCCCGAGCCTCCCCCCCCCGGGAGGGGGCCTCAACCTGGGGGGGGGGAGAGGAGGTGGAGGCGGAGGACGGCGGCGGAGGGCCGGCGATGGTGAGGGGAGGGGGCTGGGCCGGCCCGGGGCGCCGCGCTCGCTCGCCCTCTGGTTCTCCTCGGGTGCCGCCGGGGCCGAAGGGCGCGCGGGGCCGAAGGGCGGGGGAGCGCTGCGCGCGGGGGTCTCGCGGCGGCGGTGGCTGCTGCGCGGGGGGAGGGGCGACGGCGGAGGAGGAGGAGAGGAGCGAGAGCGCCTCGCGCCGCGGGAGCGACGGAGCTAAGAAGCAGGAGGGAGGGCGAGAGGGAGGAGGGGCGCGCGCCGGCACGGAGGGAGGGAGGGCGGCTCTCGGCGGCGGGGGCCGACGCGCGTGCGCGTGCGCGCCCCTCCCTCCCCCGCCCTCCTCTCCCTCCTCCTCCTCCTCCTCCACCTCCCTCCCCGCCTCCACTCCGCCGCCCCGCGCGGTGGCGGCGCTTTGTGACGCCGGCGCGTGTCCCCCGCCCTTAAAGGGCCAAGCGTCTGTGGGGGCCACGGGTGGACGCAAGGGATGCCCTTGGCCGCAAATGACGGTTGTGCAGTTCGACGCCTTGGTTCCCAAAACCGGGCCAGGAAGGGACGTCTGGTCCTAGAGTTGTCAGCGGTCCCCTCACCCACCGTGTGCATCTACAGGCCTCCCCAGGCATCCTCCACGAGCCCCAGTCCCTTGCAGGCCCTCCTCGTGACACACAGTCCGCCTCCCTGCACTTAGTAGGTGCTTAACAAGGATGTGCTGAGAATGTGGGTCTTATCGGTGGGAACAAGCGTCCCGGCATCTTTCCTCAGGTTCGGCCCTCTCGCCAGTGCGTCCTTGGAGGGCAGTGTGTCACCCTCTTAGGGGGATGGGGTGGAGGGCAGTTTCCCATCTGAGAAATGGGGAAGGCAGATGGACCAGCCTCTACTTCCCTTCTTTACTGCAAAGAGGAAGTTGTGGGAAATAGAGAAATAATAATACAGACTGAGCCTGGGTTCCTCGCCCTTTTCTGTGTGATTTGGGGCAAGTGCTCTGGCTATCCCTCAGTTTGCCCATTTGTAAAATGAAGTACTGTGGTTTAACTTTGACCCTCTACAGATCCTTTCAGCTTGAAAGTCCAACCTGGAACTGAGGGACTTTTAAGATAATCATGACTGAAGTGAGATGTGGCGACAGTCTTCACTCCCATGACTTAAAAGTACCCCTTTCTCTGGCCAACCCGTGGCTTAGCGGTTAAGTGCTCGCACTCTGCTGCTGGCGGGCCGGGGTTCGGATCCCCGGCGCGTGCTGACGCACTGCTTCTCCGGCCATGCTGAGGCCGAGTCCCACATACAGCAACTAGAAGGATGTGCAACTATGACGTACAACTATCTACTGGGGCTTTGGGGGAAAAAAATAAATAAATAAAATTATAAAATACCCCTTTCTCCGACTGGCCCTTGGCTTACTGGTTAAGTGCGCACGCTCCGATACTGGTGGCCCAGGTTCGGATCCCGGGCCCTCTGTGTGGGCCATGCTCAGGCTGCGTCCCACATACAGCAACTAGAAGGATGTGCAACTATGACATACAACTATCTACTGGGGCTTTGGGGAAAAAAAAGGAGGAGGATTGGCAATAGATGTTAGCTCAGAGCCGGTCTTCCTCAGCAAAAAAAGAGGATTATCATGGATGTTAGCTCAGGCTTCCTCACAAAAAGTAAAAAAAAAAAAAAAAAATACCCCTTTCTCTTAGGAAGGCACGTCCTATGATAACTGCCTAAACATTTCCTAGAAAAGCCAGAATACTATGAGAGTTCCACACTTAGAATTTTGGGAATCAGTAAGATCCTTAGTTCCAACCCTGGCTCCACTATTTACATTACATTACCTCTTCCTTTTTCATCAGCTTCTGTAAAAGAGGGTTAATTATACCTAACAAGCAATTGTAAAGATTAAATGAGATCATCTATATACAATGTTTATCACAATGACTGGCACATGGTCAGTGATCCATAAATAGGAACTTTAAAGAAAGAAAAAAATTTTACAGGCATGGCTGTATTCTAGATACTACCCCCTCCATTTTTTTAATAGACTTTTTTTTTTAAACGTTGAATTGAGAATTTATTTCAGGGCCGGCCCCGTGGCTTAGCGGTTAAGTGCGTGCACTCCGCTACTGGCGGCCTGGGTTCGGATCCCGGGCGCGCACGACGCACCGCTTGTCAGGCCATGCTGAGGTGAGTCCCACGTACAGCAGCTAGCAGGATGTGCAACTATGACATACAACTATCTACTGGGGCTTTGGTGGGGAAAAGGGGAAAAAAAAAAGAGGATTGGCAGTGGATGTTAGCTCAGGGCTGACCTTCCTCACACACACACAAAAAAGAGAGAATTTATTTCAAAATGGTGTCTCCCCAAAGAGTGGCGGGTGCCCATTGAAGGTGGTTAAGATGTTGTGTGGTACCTGAATCAGCGTCCACATGATGGAATCCCACATGCAAGATGGATTCCCTCCGTCTCTCTGATGCTTCACCAAGAAAGTCTCCATTGGGCCCTGGCGTGACTTTAATGCCTCTCTAGTGCTTTCTTCCTTCCCACATCAGAGGGACAGAGCACCGGCTTCAGGTGTGCAGGACTTTTTTTTTTTTTTTTTACAACAGTTTTAGATTTATAGAAAAATTGAGAAGATAGTACAGAGAGTTCCCATATACCTGGCACCCAGTTTTCTCTATTTTAACATCTTACCCTAGTACAGTATATTTATTACAATTAATGGACCAATATTGATATATTATTATTAGCTACAGTCTTTACTCACATTTCCTTAGTTTTTACCTACTGTCCCTTTTCTGTTCCAGGATCCCTTTCTGGACACCACACTATATTTAGTTTTCATGTTTTGTTAGGCTCCTCTCGACTGTGACAGTTTCTTAGACTTTCCTTGTCTTTGATGACTTTGACAGTTTTGAAGAGTGCTAGTCAGTGGAGCTGGCTCCATAGCCTAATGGTTGGGTTTGGTGCGCTCTGCTTCAGCAGCCTGGGTTCAGTTCCCAGGAACAGACCTACACCACTCATCAGCAGCCATGCTGTGGTGGCAACCCACATACAAAATAGGGGAAGGTTGGCATGGATGCTAGCTCAGGGTGAATCTTCCTCAAGCAAAAAGAGGAAGATTGGCAAAAGATGTTAGCTCAGGGTGAATCTTCCTCAGCAAAAAAAAAAAAAAAAAAAAATAGAGTACTAGTCAAGTATGTTGTAGGATGTCCCTTAATTAGGATTTGTGATGTTTTTCTCATGATTCAATTGGGGTTATAGGTTTTTGAGGGGAAGATCCCAGCAGTAAAATGAAATTTTCATCACATCACAAGGGCACATAATATCAACATAACTTATCAGTGTCGCTGTTGACCTCAGTCACCTGGCTGAGGTAGTGTGTCAGATTTCTCCACTGTAAAGTTACTCTTTTTACCTCCTTTTTATACTGTACTCTTTAGAAAGAAGTCACTATGCACAATCCACACTGAAGGAGCCCCTTCATCTTTTTGTTGTTGTTATTTTTTCTCAGAGATGAGGTCTCAATGTTTTAAAGAATCATTCCCTAGTTCCCAATTCTACTCTCTAGGTCTTGAGACCAAACTCCACTGGAATTAGAGCTCACTTCAGAGGAGGAGGAGTGTCTTAATCAATGCAGCCTCTCCTCCCAAAATGATGGTGTATGACTGGTTCTGACTTCCCCTCCTCCACCACTCAATTTAGGGATAAGAAGATTGCTGACCTGGAAATGTGGGAGATGATGTTGACACCTTTAATAACAAGGCTGTGAGTAGACAAATAGGCAGAAAGTTCATCTTCAAAGCATTTCACCCACATAAACTCATCACAGCCCCAGCCTAACTCAGAAGATGGTAGATCCCTAGCCTAATCCACTGGAACATACATCTGGCACCCAGACCCGAAGCTGCTGCCTGGGCTCAAATCAACTCACGAACTCATTCTGAATATCCACAATGGCCATGGCCCTAAGGTGGGTGGCTAATAAGCATATACCTGTCTGGGAGTTCTCACAGCCTAGTGTGTTAATTAGTTGTATACTTAAGGCTCTCCATTATCAGATCTGAGGAACTAGAATTCCACAGAACTTGTCTCATACCTTTTATCCTAGCAGGTGAAACATTGTTTATTAGTAAGTTGCAACTGTGTCTTATTCATTCCTGGATCCTCAGCAACCAGCATATTGTCTGACACAAAGTAGACACTAAGTAATTGTTCTTATGGGCTCACAGCCAAGGGCAGGAAGACAATCAGTAACAACAACAACAAAATCACAAATTGAACCCCATCCTCCACCCCAATGTCTAACAGGATCTCTCAGACACATAGTAGGTGCTCAAGGTTATAATTCCATAAGGACAATAAGTCCTGTTCATAACCATATACGAGCTACTACAATGTTTGGCACATACCAGTAGGTACTCAAAACATATTTATCAAAAGAATGAATGGCAGAAACAGCTTCCTAGAGCTTTCCCATATTGTTTCATAATGACAGGTAGAGATTGACTTGACTGATTGGTGCCCTCTGGTGGTAAAGAAAACAGGACCTTTACCCTCAGTCTCTGTAGCAT